ATGTGTATGCATGTATTGCCTGCATGTAGGTAAGTGCACCCATGTCATGAAATGCCCGTGGAGGACAGAAGAGGCTGTCGGATCTCCTGGAACTGGAGTTACAGTTATTGGTTGCCATGTGGGTGCTGGGATTCAAACCTGGGTCTTCTGCAAGAACAGTCAGTGTTCTTAATTGCTGAGCCACCTCTCCAGCCCCTTTGGTAAATTTTTTAAAGATTTATTTTTAATTATGTGTAAATTCTGTGTATGTGTGCATCAATGTGGGGGGATTGCACAAGAGTACAGGTACCCTGAGGAGACCAGAAGAATGTGTTGGATTCTCTGAAGGTGGGGTTACAGGCAGTTATGAGCTTCCTGATTTAGGTGCCAGAAACCAAATTCAAGACCTTTGCAACCATCTCTCTTCAGCCTGGAACCTGAGAAATTTTTATGTGATCCTATGTTTATAGCTATAGAATTTGGGTATACAAATTCAACATTTACTGATAATATAAGGAAATTTACTCTAAAACAGTTTTTTTAGTATGCATATAATTTTACCATTTATTAAAGATGAAAGCAAATTTGCATCTTAAGATGGATGTATTTGTGTATTTAAAAAAATATTTTTTTTATTTTATGTGTATGAGTGTATTGCCTGCATGTGTGTAAGTGCACCCGTGTTGTGCAATGCCCGCAGAGGTCAGAAGAAGGCGTTGGATTCCTCCAGAACTGGAGTTACTGGTGGTTGTTAGCCACCGTGTGGGTGCTGGGAATCGAACCCAGGTCCTCTGCAAGAGCAGTCAGTGCTCTTAACCGCTGAGCCATCTCTCCAGCCCCATATTTGTGTATTTCTACATAAAGAATTACATCATAGAAGGATATTTGATACTGTAGGGTTAGAGCATCTTCGATGTTTTTCAGAGTCACTAATAAATTATTTTGGCTTAAAGAAAGAGTTATGGGGTTGGGGGTTTAGCTCAGTGGTAGAGCGCTGGGTTCGGTCCTCAGCTCTGAAAAAAAAGAGTTATTTTCTTTTTTAAAATTAGAAATGCCAGCCCGGCCTGGTGGTGCACTCCTTTAGTCCCAGCACTTGGGAGACAGAGACACATCTCTGAGAGTTCGAGGCCAGCCTGGTCTATATAGTGAGTTCTAGGCCAGCTGGGGCTACAGGGAGACCCTATTTCAAAAAAGACCAAAAAAAAAAATAGAAATGCCGAAAAATATAAAATTACAAATGCACCTTCTGCTGGGCATGGTGCCCCATGCCTTTAATCTCAGCACTTAGCAGGTGGTATCTGTGAGTTCAAGGCCATCCTGGTTTATGTAGCTAGTTTCAGGCAAACCAGGGCTACATAGTGAGAACTTGTCTAATAAAGAAGAAAGAAAAGAAATGCCCTTTCATCTTGTGATGACAGGGTGTACCAGGAATAGGGCAGGGTGGGGTACTAGCGTACATGGAGGCACTGCGCCTGACCTCTACTCTGTGGACCTCCAACACTTATATGAAGAAATCTTTCTGGGAAATAGTTTGATTTTATAGTCATCAATGCTAACTAAGTACATCAGTTTGTATAAAGATATAATATGGCACACAAAAGTATGCTAGGGCCATTTCAGAAATTGTTGGAAATTCTGTCCTAATCTCAAGTCAGAATACATTTAATGATATTGCATGAAATTCACATCAGCAGCTTCAACAGCAGTTTAAAATAAAAAAAAAGACTTTAAATAACTACATGATTAGAAGAAGCATTTCATTACAGCTTTAACATATTCAGTAACACACTCCAGAGCAAGAGTACATCTCTTTCACAAGTGGCTGTAAGTTTCTAGGTTCACAGTTGAATTAATACAGTTATACAATATTGAACTCGGTATAAGCCCCCAAAGAGAGGCCTGTGGGTCGTCTAAAATTATTTATTTATTTATTCATTTATTTATTTTATGTGTGTGAGTGTTTTGCCTGCATGTATGTAAGTGCACCCATGTCATGCAATGCTCTCGGAGGCCAGAAGAGGGTGTCAGGTCCCTGAAAACTGTAGTTAAAGGATGGTTGTTAGCCACCATGAGGATGTTGGGAATTGAACCTGGGTCTTCTGCAAGAGCAACCAGTGCTCTTAACTACTGAGACATCTCTCCAGCCCCAACAGGAGTTTTCAAAAGGAAACATTCTAACAGTACAGTCCAAAGATGTACTAATCTGATATTTACATGGTAAGGAGTAATGACAGGAAATTATGAAGTGTTCTCTGTATTTCAACTATTGTGTTTCTGTTACGTGCAGAAAACTTTGTATATATAGTGAAAACCCTGCAATTCATAACGTATAATAGGGGCTGGAGAGATGGCTCAGCGGTTAAGAGCACTGACTGCTCTTGCAGAGGACCCGGGTTCGATTTCCAGCACCCACATGGTGGCTATGGTCCATCCTTAACTCCAGTTCCAGGGAAATCCAAAGCCACCTTCTGACCTCCGCAACATTGAATAACATGGGTGCACTCACATACATGCAGGCAATATACTCATACACATAAAAATAAAAATAATAAATATTTTTTAAAATAACATACAATAATCCCTGAATAGTATTTCAGCAGCTGTTCTAGCTTGTTTCTCCATTGCTGTGACAAAACACTCTGAGCACTACCAACTTGGGGAGGAAAGGGTTTATTTGTCTTACATCTCCCAGGTCACAGTTCATCAGGGAGCCCAAGGTAGGAACTCAGGGCAGGAACCTGGAGGCAGGAGCTGGAGCACAGGCCATGGAGGATTGCTGCTTAGTGACTTGCTCCCTGGCCCCTGCTCAGCCTGCTTCCTGATGCAACACAGGCCCACCTGCCCAGGGGTGGCACCACCCACAGTGGGCTGGGCCCTCCCACATCACTCAACAATCAAGAAAATGCCCCATAGCCATGGCCACAGCCCAGTCCTATGGAGGCAATTCCCCAATTGAGGCTCCCTCAACCCAGGTGTGTCAAGTAGTCAAGCCATCCATCACAGCAGCTCAGTGTGCACATTGCATTGGGAACCAAGGCTGCAGTGAAGTTTTGAGATGCAACATGGGTGAGCACTGCCAGAAACACCTTACATTTATTATGTGTTTGATTCTGTTGCACATTCAGAAAATGTTTACAGCTATTAAAATTTTAATGACCCCATGTTCAGTTATGTAACCCCATATAAGGCTGCATCCTACAACTGGATTCTAGTAGTATCTGAACAAGGTTTGATTGAGCAAGCCGAAAGAAAAGACATGGGTTATATCATATATCATTAATATTTGATCAGGGATATACTTTGGCATAGCTTGACATATGTATTATATATGGATATGTTTATATATAAATATTACATATGTATATTTAAAGCTACTTAGGGGCCTGGGTGTGGTGGCACACGGCTTTTATCCCAGCACTTGGGAGGCAGAGGCAGGTGGATCTCTCTGGGTTTAAGACCAGCCTGATCTACATAGCAAGTTTTGGGCCAGCCAGGGCTACATAGTGAGACCCTCTCTCATTAGAAATTGGGCTGGAGAGATGGCTCAGTGGTTAAGAACACTGACTGTTCTTGCAGAAGACCCAGGTTTGAATCCCAGCACCCACATGGCAGCTAACAACTGTCTGTAACTCCAGTTCCAGGGGAACTGACAGCCTCTTCTGTCTGCCCTCTTCTGACATCTGCAGGCATTGCATTACACAGGTGCACTTACATGCAAGCAGGCAATACACACACATAAAATAAAAATAATAAAATATTTTTTAAAAGTTACTTAAATATTTTGGGGATTTGGACTGGAGAGATGGTTCTTGCAGAGCAAGCACACACATGGCAGCTAACAACCGTTCATAACTCCAGTTCCAGGGGAACCTGATGCCCTCTTCTGACCTCCTCAGGCATTGCATGACATGGGTGCTCTTACATACATGCAGGTATAATACTCATACACATAAAAAATATAAAAATTAGCGAGGCATGGTGGCTCACACCTTTAATCCCAGCACTTGGGAGGCAGAGGCAGGTGGATCTCTGTGAGCTCAAGGCCAGCCTGGTCTACATAGTGAGTTCCAGGACAGCTGGGGCTACAGGGAGACCCTGTCTCAAAAAGACCCCCCCAAAAATGTGGGGATTAAAAAAATTATGTGTATGAGTGTTAAGTTTGCATGTATGTAAGTATACTACATGTGTGCAATACCCATGAAGAGGGTGTCAGATCCCCTGGAACTGGAGTTGAAGATAGTTGTTAGCTGCCGTGTGCTTGATAAGAACCAAACCTGGATCCTCTGCAAGAGCAGGGAATGCTCTTAACCGCTGAGCCAGCGCTCCAGTTCCATGGCATAGCTTGACTTTAAAGTCTGAGGGACGGGGCTAGAGAGGCGGCTCAGCCGTTAAGGGCACTGACTGTTCCTGCAGAAGACCCGGGTTCGATTCCCAGCACCCACATGGCAGCTACGAACTGTCCTTAACTCCAGTTCCAGGGGAATCCAAAGCCCTCTTCTGACCTCTGGCGGCATTGCACGACACAGGTGCACTCACATACACGTAGGGAATACACTCATACACATAAAAAAATAAAAACATAAAATAAAAAAATTAAGTTTGAGGGACAACCTGGGGTGGTGCACACCTGTAATTCCAGCACTTGAGACGTAAAGACAGGAAAATGGAGAGTTCCAGGGTAGCCTGAGCTACATAGCATGTAAAACAGAACAGAACAAAACCCTAAAAGCTAGCTGAGCTGTGTGGTTGAAGCCAGCGTGGGCTACAGAGTGAAACCCTGTCTGAAAACAAAACAAAACAAAACAAAACACGGAGAGATCACTCAGTGTTAAGAGCACTGGCTACTCTTGCAGAGGACCTGGGTTCAGTTCCCAGCACCCACATCGTGGCCAACAATCGTTCATAACTCCAATTCCAGGGAATCCGACACCCTCTGACCTCTGCAGGTATTGCACGACAAAGGTGCATTTATTTATATCCTGGTTTATTATTTATATGCTGGCAATACACTCATATGCACAAATTAAAAATAATAATTTTTTTGTCTTTTTGAGACAGGGTCTCCCTGCAGCCCCAGCTGACCTCGAACTCGCTATGTAGACCAGGCTGGCCTTGAACTCACAGAGATTTGCCTGCCTCTGCCTCCCAAGTGCTGGGACTAAAGGCGTACACCACACCTGGATATAAATAAATTTCTTTTTTTTTTGGTGTTTTTGAGACAGCCCCAGCTGTCCTGGAACTAGTCTATGTAGACCAGGCTGGCCTTGAACTCACAGAGATCCGCCTGCCTCTGCCTCCCAAGTGCTGGGATTAAAGGCATGCGACACCACGCCTGGCTAAATAAAATATTTTTTAAAAGTCACACAAATGAACCATATCAGTAACCTAGGCAGTCTACTGTCCAGCTCCAGAGCCCAGCTGTGCATCCTGACTGGCTTCTCTGGAGCAAAGTCTGCCTGCCTATTTCTCCTGGAGCCTCGCACCTCTCTTCTCCGCACAGCAGCTACCTAAACCAATCAGCATTTAGTGAGAGGGCGGGCCTAGAGGGCCTTCCTAGCCAATTGGTGGACAGGGGGCGGGGCCAGCGAGTGAGGGTGGGCGGGACTATAACTGGCACTCTGGGTGCCTCGTGTTCCTGAAGGACCCTGGGGCGCGCATGCGCATTGTTCTCTTGGTGAACTAACACGAACTGGAGGACCGGAAGAGTGTGAACGGTTTCGAGGCTGGGGTCGCCACGGAAAAGAAGCCATTGCTGTTCACAGCCACGTGGAGTGGAGGGTTTGTTAAGCGATAAGAGGGTGAGGCGCGCCGCCCCCGCCCCGCCCCCACCAACCACATCCCACCTGCTCCATTCTGTCCGGCCTGACCTCAGGAGTCGCCCGTCTCCCCCAGCTCTTGTCCCTCACGGCCTACAGGCTTTTCAACTCCTCTTGCTGCCCTCTTTTTAAAAAGTATCTGGTTTTCTGAGACAGGGTCTCATGTTGCTCAGGCTGGCTTTCAAACTCATTGTGAAGCTGAAGATGACCTTGAACTCCTGATCGTCCTGCCTCCACCTCCCAAATTTTGGGGTTGCAGACCTGTGTCACCATTGCCAGCCCCTCTCTCCTGCCTTTCCTTCGCCACCATCTCCATCTTCTGCGTCTTCCTCCTGTACCTCCTTCAACCCTGGACTTCTCCTCTGCCCCAGATCTCATTCTGATCCCCAGTCTCAGGATCCTGATGAGCTTGTTCCCAACCTCCTTGGTTTTTTTTTTTTTTTTTTTTTTTTTTTTTTTTTTTTTTTTTTTTTTTTTTTTTTTGTTTGTTTGTTTGTTTTTGTGTTTTGGCTTTTTCTTTTTGGAGATAGGTTCTCCCTGTAGCCCCTGGAACTCGCTCTGTAGACCAGGCTGGTCTTGAACTCACAGAAGTCCACTAGCCGTTGCCTCCAGAGTACTGGGTTTAAAGACATATACCACCATGCCCAGCTTTCAACCTATATTTAAAAAAATATTTTATCAGTTTATGTATATGAGGGTTTTGCCTGCATGTGTGTAAGTGCACCATTGTGCAAAGCCTGCAGAGGATAGAAGAGGGTGTTGGATCCCCTGAAACTGGAGCTACAGATGGTTGTTAGCTGCCTTGTGGGTGCTGGGAATCGAAGCCAGGTCCTCTGCAAGAGCAGCCAGTGCTCTTAAGTGCTGAGCCAAGTCTCCAACCCCCCCAACCTACATTTTTGTTGCAGAGCAGCCAGTGCTCTTAAGTGCTGAGCCAAGTCTCCAACCCCCCCAACCTACATTTTTGTTGTCTGGCTATTGTAGCCCAAGCTGAACTCAAACTCATGATATACCCCTCCCCTCAGTTTTCTAAGTGAGATTATAGGCAGGCATCATCATGCCTGGTCCTTTAAACTCAGCACTGGGGAGGCAGAGGCAGACAGATCTCTGAGTTTGAGGCCAGCCTTAGCTACATAGCAAGTTCCAGGACAGGCAGGGCTACATAGTGAGACCGTGTCTCAAAAAAAAAAAACTGTGTAGCTTAAATATAAAAGTATTGAGTAAGCATTCTGGAAACACTGATTGCCCTCTCTCTCTATATATATATATATATATATATATATATATATATACAACATACATACATACATACTGGGGATTGAAGATAGGGTCATAGGGCCATACACTTGTGAGGTAAGTACTCTATAACTGAGCTATATCTGCAGTTGTGTGTGTGTGTGTGTGTGTGTGTGTGTGTGTGGTGCTGGAGATCAAACCCAGGGCTTCATATGTGCAAGGCATTCAGTCCACTTACATCCCCATACCCAGGCTTTTATTTTAAACATTTAAACTTTTTTCGATATATTTTTTTATTTTATGTGTTTTGTCTGCATGTATGTTAGGTATACCACATGTGTGCAGTGTCCAAGGAGGCCAGAAGAGGGTGTCAGTACTGCTGTTAGCTGCTATTTGGGAGCTGGAACCAAACTTGGGTCATCTGATAGAGAAGTCCGTGCTCTTAACCATTGAGCCATTTCTCCAGCCCCAATTTATTTTAATTATGTGTATCTGTGTAGGAGTATGTGCATGTGAGTGCAGGTACCTTTGGAAGCCAGAAGAGGGCTTAAGATCCCCTGGAGCTGGAGTTATACGTAGTGAGAACCACTCAATGTGGGTGCTGGCAACTGAACTCAGATCCTTTGAAAGAGCAGTAAGTGTTTGTAATCACTGAGCTATCTAGCCAGCCTCCAGAGCCAGACTTTTAAAAACATGTTAGACAGGATCTTACTTTTGTTTTGTTTTGTTTTTTTGATATTTGAGACAGGGTCTCCCTGCAACCCCAGCTGGTCTGGAACTTGCTATGTAGACCAGGCTGGCCTTGAACTTACACAGATTTACCTGCCTCTGCCTCCTGAGCCCTAGAATTAAAGTCCTAAGCCACCATGCTGGGTAGATCTCACTATGTTGCCTGGGTTGGTCTTGAGCACAGGCCTGTAGCCCAAGCAGGCCTTATCCTTTTGATTCTTCTGCCTCAGCTTCCTTGAGATGGGATGAGAGGCCTAGCCATCGTCTATCTTTTCACTGTTTTCCACTCTTTAACCTTTTTTCCATTTACCAACACTACTGGATCCCATTTTGGACTCCTTCCCTGACTAAGCCTTTCCCAATTGCTCTCTGCCCACTTCCTTTCTCTCATCTTCCTAAATGGTATTCTTCCTTCACCACAATCATCTCTTCCCATTTTGCTACTGTCCCTGACTTATCCTCAGCTGATGACCATTCTGTCTTCCAGGACACTATGGACCCCCGGGGACCAGCCCCTCAGCCTTTCCAGCAGCGTGTTCGCCGTCGGAAGACTAGGCGGGAACGAAATATGGCTTTGGTGGGCAGCCATCGGCCACTGGCCCGTCAGGATCCTCCCATGTCCAGACAGGATCCATCTATGCTCCTCTGGGATCCTATGGCCCCTTCAGCCCCCAAGTTTGTAGTCATAACCCAAGGCAGATTGAGCCGGGAACACCGGGGTCTCTTCAACCATGAAGTGAAATCCTTGGATGTGGCCCGGCTGCTTAATAGTGGCTCCTTGGAACCAGACACCCTCCTGCCACCCTCCAAGTCCTCCTGTAGCCCAGGCAAAATCCAAGAACCAGTCTTACCACCAAAAGGCAAGGAGAACCAGGTGCCTGGAGGCTCTGACGCAGGCCCACCCAATTCCCCAGAGCCTCCTGAGTTGGGGCAACTGATGGAGGACCTGCGATGCCAGCTAATTCTGCCACAAGCCTTCTCCAAGAGGAACCTGGTACAGGAGTCCAGAGATACTATCATGGGAACGTTACAGGGGTGCCATGGCTGTGTGCCTGATCTTACCCTGGTGCTCCGAGGTTGCCAGCCAACCTTGCCAGGTGAGCCCACCTCCTGTCCCCTGTGCTCCCCTTTCCCTTCTCTGACTAGCTCAACTGACCCCCATGCTTCTTTCTTCTGTGCCAGAAACCAAGCCTAGGGTCCTGGAGAGACAAAGGATGATGCCCTCTTGGATCAATGTTCCTGAGCATGCTCCAAGGGAGGGGAGGACTCAACAGGGGACAAAGGGGCTCACCTTCGCCATGCCTCATACTTCCAGCACCCCCTCTGCACACAGAGTCAGTCTGGTGCCACCTATAGGTCAGAGACCACCACCCTTGCCCTCCTTATCTTCACCATCTGTGGCATCTTGGGGTCCCCCAACTGCCTTTGACATGCTGAAAAGCATCTGGCTTATAGCTACACCACCCCCTCTCCGCTCCTGGGATGTCTGCCCACCTCAGCCACTACCTCAGCCACCATCACCCTTGTTGCCCCGAACATCTGCCTTAGATTGGAGCCCTGCCCCCCCTGCCCCACTGCCTAGCCTCTCTTGGATGGTGGCTCAAAGAAGTCCAGAGGCCTGGTCCTTCCCCCCCATGAGACTGTACTGAGAGGACTGTGGCTAGTGCTGGGGGCAGGTATCCCACACTCTATGTCATCTCAATAAAGAATCATCTTTGTGGTCCTCTTGATTTTCAGTAAGTGGCTCTCTTAGGAAGGAAAGCAGCTTTCCTTAGCTTGAGTTTTAGGGCCAAGGTAGGGGGATACTGTCATTTTTTGCCTTACTGTGGCCCCAGGATGGGGAAGCTTGATGCTTCAGGTAATTTAACACATACATTCTGTGGCAAACTGGGTGCCCAACGCTGAGCTCTGGCAATCAGAGTGAGTGAGACTCCCAGGCCAGTGGAAGTCCCAGGGCGATGAGGAGAGCGATGCGGCGGCAGTGTGGTAGAGCGGGAGTCCCGCGGACGAGGAGGGCGAACCCCGGGGGGGGGAGAGAGAGAGAGAGAGAGAGAGAGAGAGAGAGAGAGAGAGAGAGAGAGAGAGAGAGAGAGAAGAGAAGAGGGAGAGGGAGAGGAGAGAGGAGAGACAGAGAGACAGGAGAGAGAAGAGAGGAGAGGAAAGAGAAGAGAAGAGAGGAGAAAGAGAGAGATCTCTCCAAGGGAGGGGGTGAGTCCCATAGAGTCAGAACTTAGTTTTCATCTCCCTACCTGGTAGGATCAGGATGTGCAGGGCTTGAAGGAGGGTAAGCAGTATTTGGCATTTTTATTTAGCCCATATCCTTAAGCCGTGCAGGGACCTAGGGTGAGTCACATCTAGGCCTGCCCTTGAGGGGCTTCTGTTCCAAGAACAGTGTATGTGTAGATCTGGGCTGGAGTGAATGGCAGATCATGGCTGAGTCTGACCTGTGGCTTTTTTCTTCTACTGGTGATGTATTACAAATGCTTGAATAACAGACATGGTGGCACCTGCCTCTAATTTCAGCACTTAGGGCTGAGAATGGCTGATGAGCTAGGGGCTAGCCTGGGCTACAAAATGAAATCCTGTCCTGTGGGGGTGGGGGGGAGACAGTTTTGTTTTTCTGAAAAACTGCTTTCCTGGTGCTGGGCAATTAACATGCACAGAGCTCTGGATATGATCCCCAGCACCACATAAAACGGGATGTGGTGCATGCCTCTTATAGCTCAGGAGATGGAGACAAGAGGATCGGGAGCTTCTGGTCGTCCTCCATTACATAGTGAGTTTGAGGCAGCCTCAGCAAATGAAACCCTGTCCCAATAAATACCTCCACCCAAACAAAAACACCACCGCCCCCAAACAAAAAACTGATAGCAGTGGGGCTCAGCAGTTAAGAGCACTGGCTGCTCTTGCAGAAGACCCAGGTTTGGTTCCCACCACTCACATGGCAGCTAACAACTGTCCATAACTGCAGTTCCAGGGAATCTGATGCCTTCTTCTGACCTTCACAGGCACTGCATGCAGGCAAAACATACACATAAAATAAAAATAAATTAAGCTGGGCGTGACGGTGCATGCCTTTTATCCCAGCACTTGAGAGGCAGAGGCTGACGGATATCTGTGAGTTCAAGGCCAGCCTGGTCTACATAGTGAGTTCCAGGACAGCTGGGGCTACAGGGAGATCCTGTCTCAAAAATACCAAAAATAAATAAAAATAAAAATAAATTAAAAAATTAAAACCTGGCCAGGTGTGGTGGCATATGCCTTTAATCCCAGCACTCAGGAGGCAGAGGCAGGCAAATCTGTGTGAGTTCAAGGCCAGCCTAGTCTACATAGTGAGTTCCAGGCCAGCTAGGGCTACAGGAAGACCCTGTCTCAAAACGGACCAAAAGACCAAAAAACCAAAAAAACAAAGCAAAACAAAAAAACAAAAACAAAAAAATCTGGTAGAGTCATCCCTCTTGGCAACACATTGAAAGTTTTTCAGTTTTGTGTTTTGTTTTTTTTTTCCTTTTGAGACAGTCTATGGTAGTCCTGACTGGTCTGGAATTTGCTATATAAACCAGATTGGCCTAGAATTTGTGGCAATCCACCTGTTTCTGCCTCCCAAGTGCTAGGTTTCTATGCCATGTCCTACCTCAGGAATTTGGTCTTGAACTCGTAGAGATCTGTCTGCCTCTGCCTCCCAAGTGCTGGGATTAAAGGCCTGGGCCAACAGCCCAGCTCCACCTCAGGAATTTTATTTGTGGATCTGGAAATCAAATTCAGGACCTTGGATATGCTAGGCAGACACTCTGCCACTAAGCTATACATCCCCTGCCTAGGAAAAAAAGAAAAATTAATGTCCTTTTGAGCAGCAGCGAATTTTCTGTAGTGGAGAGTGAAGGATGAAAAAAAAAAAAAAAAAAAAAAAAAAAAAAAGCTTATTTGCATCTGACCAGGAAAATCAAATTGGACTCTACCCTTGGAAGGTGTTTCCAGGGTTCTTGATTGCCCTTTGGGAAACCACAGGGTTTAATACTAATACCTGAGGAAACTACACTGGGAGATGGAGGCCTCAATGACTCACCTAGATCTTTGTAAGTGGACAAACCAAGATCTGAGCCCCGGCAGCTAGAGTGTGTGCTCCTGGATATCTTATACTTCTGTCTCACAGCAACTGGGGTTCACACCCTACTAGGAAGGAGCAGGATGGGGAGAGGCATCTGGCTATGGTTGTTGTGTTAGGGGGGCTTTACCCTGTGGGGGGTGTGTGTGTGTGCGTGTGCATGTGATCAAGAGCAATGTCTTGCCTCTGCATGTTTGGGGACATACAGAGGGTATGTTGAATCTGGGGAGTGCACACTGAAAGAATAATTTGGGGGCTAAACTGGGGAAGAGAGGTCAGGACAGAGCTCAGGTCTGGAGGTTGTGCGCATCCTGTCTGGAGGAGGCCCGGCTTGCAGGAGATGTGAGTTCAGGTTAGGACGCGAATCCCGAGGTATCGGCGCTAGGGCAAGGTGGCAAATGCTGGGAAAGGGACGTTCTCTCCCCCTTTGGGACGGGTAGGGGCCAGGTTGGTCCATCCCGGAGGAAGGGGCGGAGACCACGGCTCCGGGCGGCCCCTTTAATCGGGGGCGCGCGCTGGCTGCCCCGCGCGCTCTCGCCTCCTTCGCCGGGCCGGAGCGGGAGCCAGAGCCGAGCCGGGACCCGAGCGGGAGGAATGGAGCCCCCGCGCGCGCCCGCGCTGTGCCGCCTGCTGCCGCCGCTGCTTTTGCTGCTGCTGCCACTGCCCCCCCGCGCCCGGGCCAAGTACGTGCGGGGCAACCTCAGCTCCAAGGAGGTGAGCACGCCGAGCAGTCCCCAGGAGCCACCCGGCCGGCCGGGGGACCCGAAGAGGGGAGGACGCCGCCCCGCCCCTTGCGCCCCTCCCAGGAGGACCTGGGAGCCGCGGGGGGCCCGGGCCTGGGTGATGGGGTATGGGGCCTGGATAGAGGCTGCGGGCGTGGGGTTGCATTGTGGATGACCAGTTAGACTGGGTGGGGAGGGGTCGGTTGGGAGGGTGAGAGTTGGGGGAGCAAGGCGCTGTGGTGGTGCTGAAGGGACAGCACCCCTTACTCCCTGGGAGCCCCGGTCACCTGGCTTGCTCAGGAACAGCAGGGAAGGTTTGGAAGATTCCCCAGAACAGGATGGTCCCTGGGACCACCATGGGGCGTGTGTGTGTGTGTGTGTGTGTGTGTGTGTGTGTGTGTGTGTGTAACTGGAAGAATGCAGGTGGGAATGTGCTGAGGACAGACGGTGGCGGGGACGTGCACCTGGCCTTTCATAGTCTTTCTCAGCGTCTGGAAGACGGGGAGGAGGAGGCTAGGAGAGGAGGGAAGGAAACTTGGGTGGAGGGGACATCTGAGGCAGAAAATCAGGGCAGTAGGAATCTTGGACATATGGCAAAAAGATTTGGAGGTTACTTGGTCTCCTTGTGATATTTGGGAAGCCAAGTCCCCAAGGGCAGGGAAGAAAAGTTGAGGGTCTGTGGAGTTGAGGCCAGTTCTTGAAGGACTCAGAAGATCTCACTGGGTCCTTTTGCTAGGACTGGGTGTTCCTGACAAGATTTTGTTTCCTCTCGGATTATGGCCGATTGGACTTCCGCTTCCGCTACCCTGAGGTGAGTCTCCCCCAACCACTCTACAGGCTGAGGCTGGATACTCCCTTGGCCTCTCAAGGCAAAAGCTGCCCAGCTCCCTGTACCCCACACCCCAACATTCCTCCCTCAAATCTCTGGGTCATCAGGCAAAGTGCTGTCAGAACATCCTCCTTTATTTCGACGACCCATCCCAGTGGCCAGCTGTGTACAAGGCAAGGGACAAGGTGAGGGCTATGAGGAATGTGTGGGTGGGGGAGGGGCAGAAGGTCATGGCCATCCAGAGAGTGACCCTGTCTCTGCCTTCCCCTAGGACTGCTTGGCAAAAGAGTCAGTGATCAGGCCAGAGAACAACCAGGTCATCAATCTCACCACCCAATACGCCTGGTCAGGCTGTCAGGTGAGTGGGAGTAAGCAGGTGCTAAAGATCTAGGGCCTAGTGGCACCAAGGACAAGGCTTTTGCTTTTTGGCTCCTCCCCAGGTGGTGTCAGAGCAGGGAACCCGCTACCTGAGCTGCTCCAGTGGCCGCAGCTTCCGCTCTGTGCGTGAAAGATGGTGGTATATCGCACTCAGCAAGTGTGGGGTAAGGGGCTGGGGAAGCCACTTGGGTTTTCTCCTTTTTGCCTTCCTGCTGACATCCCCTACCTTAGGGGAGCCCCCCTTAGGCCTCCCCACTCCCCACAGGGAGACGGGCTTCAGCTGGAGTATGAGATGGTCCTCACCAATGGCAAGTCCTTCTGGACACGGCACTTCTCAGCTGATGAGTTTGGTGAGAGATATCTGGGGAACACGGGTCAGGAGCTCCCTGGGATCCCAGAGAAATACTTGCTGAGGGACACCCACTCAGAAAACCCCCTTTCTCTCCTTTCCTTGAATCCTAGGGATCCTGGAGACAGATGTGACCTTCCTCCTCATCTTTACCCTCATCTTCTTCCTCTCCTGTTACTTTGGATGTGAGTACCCTCCCCATGTGGGTGTGGGTAGGACAAGTGGGAGAACAGAGATGGGGAAATGCACCCCACCCTGTATGTGTATAGCCTTTCCCTATTCCCTTTGTAGATTTATTGAAAGGCCGGCAGTTGCTCCATACGACTTATAA